TTTTTTTTTTTTTTTTTTTTGCTTCAAGAGACTGTGAAAGTCTTTATGGCATTTAAGGGGAATTACAGGGGTTTGAAGGAGGTAGTGAGAGGATGTATCAGCTGGGCCAAGGAGCTCCCATGTGGCAGTGTCACCCTAGGAGATCAGCACAGTCTAGAGTCCAGTGTGTAGGCTTAAAATTCATCTTCACAGGAGGAAGACTTATGATACACCAGCTCAATAAAAATGAGTAAAACCAACATGCACGTTGAGTGATCTTTAAAATTTTTATTCATTGTGGGGAGTTGGTACATGTATGTCACATGTCTCAATTTTGGGGGATCCCTTCCCCCATCTACCTTCTCCCAAGTTTGGTGATTTTTACCCCGGGATATGGAGCTGCCAGGGACCCCAGGTTGTGTGCACCGAGCTAAGCTGTGGTCTTTCCGTGGGTAGGTCACGTAGTCAGGGCCAACCAGTAGTTGCTCGGTGAGCGTGGAATCAGAAGAGGGGCCGCTGTGGAGAAATCAGATGTTTTTGTAAGCAAAGTAGTGCCGCTCCCGGGACAGACGTGTGCCTTGGAGTTGGGAAAGTCCTGCTCATTGGGCTTGGCCTCTGCCTCTTGAGAGGGCTGTTTGCTGAAGTGCTCAAGACACTCTCTAATAGAGGCAGAAACATGTGGTGATGAGGACTTCCCGTTACATGTAAGACATTTAGCAGCGCTCCTGGTGTAATTCAGGAGACTCACAGAGTGAGTCTGCATTACTGTTAGTATCTGTGGCTCTGCTGCCCATGTCTCACCGTGCCATGGTGAGTGATCAAGCTCTCTTCAGAGGAATTCCTTTCTTACTTTTATAAGTACTATTGATTCTTCCATTTACTGAGCGTGCGTGCCTGTTTTCAAATGTTCTGATAGTAGGCACCGGCAATCACACTTCCTCCACATTACTACACTGTTACACAGAAGTGTTAGTATGCCATCATGATTTGGTTTTCTGATTTATTTATCTTGGTGTGTAGCCCAGGTTGACCTTGAACTCCCCTGGTGATCCTCCTGCCTCAGTCTCCGGAGTGCTGGGATTACAGGTGTGTGGCTCCACACCTGGCTAGTTGTCATATTTAAACAGCTATTTCTCTGCCAACTGAAAAAAATCATCTGTACAATGTTACCGTTCATTTCCCTCAAAACCAGAGCTTTGGTAGGGGGTAAGTTGTTCTGTTTGCCTGTTTTCTTTCTTTTTAATGCTCAACCCCAATTCTAGGATTAAAAAGAAGGTTTTATGAAAACTTTTGGATTAGGTTTATGTATTCTTCTTCAGGATATATCTGTTTCAGGGATCCTTATTCAATAATAGAAATTTAAACACATTCTTATGGCATTATGGATATTA